CAGTTTAAAAAGATACAGTTCAAGTTAATCTTTGTATCTCCTTGCCAGATTTCTATCTTGCAAAGTAATAGAAACTCAAAAGGTAAAATGTGAGATACTTGTTTAAAGTGAGCTTTAAACAAGCTTTTTACTTGTTAAAGTACAGAACATTCACTGAATTTAACAGAAAAGAGTGAGGGAAATTACATGAAGAAGTTTAATTGCACTAACAATGCTAAGTATAGGCAGCCTGTCAGACTTGCAAAACCTCCACCAGTCCTTAAAATGAGTGCTGGAAGGCCTTTGCTTATCATAATGAAATAAATGAGGTCATAGAACAAACTGATTAAGTCTATTTGATAACTTCTATATATTTGCATATTCAGAGGATTGACCTCATTCACCTAAATTGAATCAGCCTGGAAATTTCATAAGTTCTTGGAAAGACAAGGAAGATAAATGCCACTTAAAATTCTCTGTTCCATTGTGTATTTCTACTTCTGTCAGAAACTTATACTGAATACAGAGGGAGTTCGTAAACCTTTTGCCTCTTAGCCATTATCCATGGCAGGGACAAGGGGTGCTAGCAGCAGCAGCCCCTGTGGAAATAGTTCCATATTAAGTTTTGCAATTGTCAGTGGTGGTACTGGTGGCCTGCATGGTTTTTAGCTAGTTTGTTTATTGTTAGAGGAAGACATGATGCACTTTGAGAACTCCCAAAATGATCATTTTAACATCTTGGTCTTGCTTAAAGATACTGCTTCCTAGAAGTTCAGAAACAAAGCAGGTCTTAACCTGGCAATTTAATAATTCAGATTGACAGTATTATTGTAGTTTTCAGATTACAAGACAAAAGCTGTCTTAAACAGAATGGGAAGTATTCTATTAATAGTATTAAGTATTGTTTTTAATGTTAATCTGTAAGTTAATAACGAGCAAGTTGAAAAATCTAAGTTGTACATATGTCTATGTCCAAAGCATAACTCCTAGCTCTTACTTAAGTTTCTGCTGAAAAGGTAGGGCTTTCTTACAAATGTGACTGCCTGCATTTTGTGTGTGTGAACCTGTATAATCAGTAAAAGAACAGGAAAGAATATGTAATTTTAATTGCAGTTTAGCATTTTACTAGGACTAGATTTTACAAGCTGCTACTTAAACTAACTGCTTTGAAAAGAGACTTAGCCTGGCAATACACTGGCAATACATTGGTAGTACTTTGATATTTCCTTGTAATTAGAAGAGCTTTCTTAAAAATTTCCATCTGAGAACTTTGAAAACTATATAATTTTAAAATAATGTAATTATTTTTCTGGGGAGGTAAATGTGTTTATAGAATTGGTCTGGTTTTCAGTCTGTTCCCCAGCTTTTTAATGGAGTAGAATTTACTTAACAACTCAGCATGTCCAAGGTTCATACTAATTCCTGAAATTTTAATGTACCTTGAGATGTGTTTGCTTCCAGTCTAACAAAAAGTTACAGTAATGAATCTTTGCCTGCATTTTGAAATGGACTTGCCAAGTGTCTTACCTTTCGGTTGCTTCTGAGAGGTATCATATGTACACATACGTAGATTTTTCAGTGCGCTGGCAAGAAATAATATGGTGAAACAGCACTTTGTTTTTCTTCAACCTTTGTACCTGATGAATAACCAGCCAGTGTAAAAAAAAAAATAATAAACCTAGAAAATCCTTAGCAAAAGATTGACTAAGTTGAGCAACTTCTTATGATCATCTTGGATTTAATTGGATCAGCAGCCAATAGGAAAGCCTGACTGCAGTATGCTGAAGTGTCAAGTTCCAGATCATAGAGGAAGCAGTGAGTTTAAATGCCACAGGTGATTTACAAGCAAGTTGAGTTATAATCAATTAAAGAAATGCTGGAGACAGAAAATGCAAATCTTTTGATCATTCATCAAATGAAGAGAATGTCAGGATATTTGCATACCGAAGTAAAGCTTCCTTTTGCTACTTAATTCTGTCTTAATGCTTGTGTTTTGGAAATATCATTGTCAGAGGAGCTGCAGCGTCACAGATAAAGCTCATTATTTACAGAGAATTATGTGCACTGTAAGCATGTCTGTAATTGGGGCTGTATTTCAGGAAGAAGTTATAAAAACAAATCATACTTGCTCTGTAGTGAATGTCTATGTACAGGCTGAAAAAAAGTGATTATATTGATATACAAGTGCTGTGTCCTATAAATTTTTACTTGCATTAGTGCTCATTCTGTCCAATATGTATCACCAAGCTACAGAATGGTTCATCTCCTTTCCATTTCCATTCGTCTCCAATATGTGTCTTTATAAGTTGTTTTACTTCACTATGTCTATGTTGTTATTGGCACTTTTGTTTTGCATAATATCTCAAAACATTCAACAATTTTTCCAAGCCTCATCCCTGATTCAGCTTCATGCATAGTGTTCAAATTACTTCTGGTAATGAATTGTGTTTCTGTGACAGCCATTGCTGATTTTTCATTGCCTCTTGAAAAATCACTAAGTTGTAGCCTCCTCTCACAAGGTTTCTGCCACAGAAGATGCATCACTATAAGTCAGACATTTCTACTCTCAAGGACATGCTGGATCATCTTGAAGTATCTAGCCACAAGACTATATCATGTAGGAGATGAAAAGGTGAATTGCTTCATGTGAAGAGGCTACTCTGTAATGTGTCCACACACTTTAAATAGAGGGGGCTGGAAAAGTAGGTTTCTTTCCTTGTCCTGCATTGCACACTTTAAATCTCAGGCAAAGATGAGAGAAATCCCATAGAGTTTGGAGACACCACTGCCCTCAAGAGTGGTATTGCTATACATGTAGCAAACTGTATTCTCACTCTTTTGAAGGTTCCAGTGATCTCCAGGAAAGGCGCTGTGTGTGTATTTAAATACAAACTCCCTCTAAGCCATTCTGTAATGTCTCCAGGAGAATTACATCTAGAGTGAAGATTTCTTCTGAAAATCAGCACCCTTAGCATTTTGTTGAACTTCTTACTGCACTTTCTTGATTTTCTTTCTTCCATATCCACAGCTGGGCTTGATTTGAGAAAAGCTATCACTGCTGAGCCCTTGCAACAGCTTTCCTAGGTCCACATTGAGGCATGAGGCGCACTCAATAACAAGCAACATGAAAGCTCCCTGCCATCTCCTAGCTCCATGCCTTCCAAAAGGTCTTGGATCAAACTACTCATGTAGCTTAAAAAATAGCTCCTTTCCATTACCACATGTAACATAATTAACCATTTATAAACTGTTGCTCATGCAGTGAGGGCCTCATATTTGGACTGGGTCTGAATAAATTTAGTTTTAGTCTCAAGATGGTATTAGAATTAATGTCATGTTACAACTACCCAGTGATTCTTAGGCAGTCCCAGTGCACTCCCAATTTGCCATACTAAGTGGGACGTCATGTTTTTTATTTGTTTCATCATCATCAGGTCTAAAGCATTTTTGTGGCATTGCCTGCTAACCTGACAGAATTGCTACATAATATCCTCAATTTCCTGGAGATTATGGATCTTTCTTTGAAGCTAGTTGGAAGTGGTTACATTTTTGAAACTCTTTTGAGAATTCCTTGTAAGTGATTAATACTGTGGGGAAGGCTGAGAGAACTGGTGTTTAATGTCTAGAAGAGAAGGCTTAGTGAATATTTTATCGAAGTAAATACGTGATGGGCAGGGGTTGAGAAAATGGAGCTGCTCCCAGGACAATGACCACATATTAGAGAACAGGAAAGTCCCTTTAAATATGACGAAAAACTCTTCTGTTAGTTAGAGTGAACAAACATCAAAACATTGCCAAAACACATTGTGGGGCATCCATCCTTCAAGATACTGAAAACCTGAAAAAGACACTGACATCCTGCTCTAGGTGACAAGGTTTTGAGTAGTGCACAGGTTGGACCAGACAACCTTCAAAAGTCTATTCCAATGTCAACTCTACTCTGCTTCTACAATATTTTCATTATTTCCTTACCCTGAAATTATTGTTGTGCAGTTCCACTGTTTGGCATCATCTCTTAAACTTAAGGGCATTCTTGTCTGCAGTCTTTGATCCAATAGTATGACTCACACAATTTACAACTCGTCTTCTTGCAATTCAGGAAAAGTTAATGAAAAGCAGAAGAAAAAAATCCTGAAGGAAGGTATTCGGCTGATTTTGTCATTTTTAACAGAATTCACTCAGAAACAAGCAAAACATTTTAGCAATCTTTCATGAACAATGAAGTGAATTAAGGTATACTCTTCAGGGTCTCTGTTTTAATTTCCTATAAGTATGTTCTCAATTAGACATTCTAGCTTTCCAGAATTTCATAGAAATTACTAGACTTATCATAAAACAGTGAGAACAATTCTTTATGTGTTCTTTAAATCTGCTAATATAGTTGCTTGTAACTCACTGTAGCTGGAATGGTAAAGTTTTTGTATTTGCAATCGATTTTCTAAGAAGAATAAAGTCCTGAATCAAGAATGTAAAAAATACGTAATTGCTTAGTTACTGCATAGTTAAAAAACTACATTGCTCAGATCTCTGAAACCAGTCTCCATTCTAAAGTAATCAACAATTCTTTGTGAAGAGTAATCTGTTCATCATCGTCATCTGATGCTGTCAAGTGCTAATATCTGTATTATATTTTCTTTATGTGCATTTACAAATTGCTTATCTGCTTCCTTACTTCAAACTGCTTTTTGTTACTCCAGAAATTCACTGATGGAGAGGTAGTACCTTACTTTTGCCAGTGTTGAGACCAATGCAGATAGACAGTGTGGGAGTGTTGGAAAATACCATGTGGGTATTATAAAGGCAGAGAATTCTTCATCTTCTCTACATTTTGTGAATGTTTGTATCGCTAATTTGGCTCCAACATTAGATGCAAGTTGGTAATGCTCTTTTATAGCATCTAGGCATTTTGTGTTACACTGAGCACTTCAGTGAGGCTGAAGGAATAGAGGCTGGAGTTTGAAATGAGTGCTTACGATATATATTTGCCTGTAAAATTTACAAAAACTATTATATTTTTACAGCACAGAAAAGTTAATTCAAGCTGTAGAAGAAGATATTGAGCGTGAAAAAGTTGTGGCAGATGACATAATGAAAGATATGTCACAGGAAAATCAAGCTAAATATCTGGAGATAAAAGCAGCCAATGAGAAACTCTCCCAGGTTGGCTTGTTCCATTATGCTTACCTAAAATATTTCTTAAACTGGCTTCTTGGGGTTTAGATAAAATTTAAGTACTGAAGAACTTGACAACCGAGTAATACAATAAAAAAGCTTGCTGGTATCTTAATCAATTGTAGAAGTACCTGAAAATGGAGCAGTTGACTAAGACCAAATACTTCGCCTTCTTATATTTCATACTTTATGAAGAAATAATGTTCACAATTTTCTGTTTGAAGTTAGGGCTTGACATGAAGTTTTTAAAAGCCACTGCAATACTTAGATGTTTCATCATGTGTAAAAAAACAAGCAAAAAGGAAAACTAACCCCAGCAATTTTTGTAGTTCACTTGAGTAGAAATTTTTATTCTTTTGTGCAACAGTAAATCTAACTAGACTTTTCTATTATTAATATTAATATTATTATTATTATTATTACTATTATTATTGTTGTTGTTATTGTATATCTGAATGTATCAGAAAAAATTAACTGGGCTGTATAAAATGTTTGTTACTTCATTAATACTTATCTTAACAACAGGAGTAACATTTCTAGGCTCTCTGGGACGATCTAGTTCAAGCATACTGTCTTAAAAGGTCCTCTGTATAGTCTGTACAGAGATGAGTTCCATGTTTCTATCTGTCTTAGAATGAGCTGAATCAGTAGTCAGGGCTTACCTGTCTCTTTCTGGACTGTGAAAAAACTGTCATGGTTCAGGTTTTAAAATTTGACTCTAAACTCCTGAAGTACAGATAATAAGTTCTACTGGTTTAAAAATTTAAATTTTATTTTAAAAAAAAAAGTAGAAAAAGGGCAAACAATTTTTTGATAGTAGCCCACTTAGTTATTGCAAATAGCCCAGTAGTTATTGCAAGTAACAATGGTAAGAGTAATGGAAAAGCTGGATGCTGCAAGCAAGTGTTTACTACCTCTGAGTTATGTGAAGGAGCTGGACAGAGTCTTGTCTTTCAAATTTTTAAGAGCAGCAATGGGACAGTTTACAGCACTTGATACATACTAAGTTTTAGAGCAAAAAAATAGATAAGTAGTAATTTTTATCTGAATTTTGCATTTTGCTTCCTCTTTAGGAATTGGTTGTTCAACAGCAAGAATTGGATGCACTAAATGTAAAGGAAGAGAGTCTAAGAGCTGTATGTATGATAACAAGTAGTCTCTATACTAACCTTCCCTGAACACTAGTGTAAAGAATAATACAGTTGAAAAAATACCTATAATTTCTTTTCCTTAAATTTTCAGATACTGTAGGAGCATGCTCTAGTATGGGAAGGCAAATCTGCATCTCTGTTCGCACTAATCATTTCTAATAAGTTTTGGGTGAAAATGTCTTATTGAGGGAATTTTTTTCATATTGGATCTTTCATGAATAAAAGGATCTATGAGCTGAAGCATATAGTCAGAAAGTATAATTTTCAAATACTGCTAGATATGTTTCAGTCCCTTTGAATGTTGTACATGGTTTGAAATCCCCTAGAAACTCCTCAGAAAATTGGCCCAAGGAAGAATTGTAAATCAAGAAGTAACTGACTAGGATATTCTATTCCAGAAAATGCAATATAACAATATGGATTATACATTTTACTTTTTATAAAGTGCTTTTTGCTGTCTCTGTGCTTTTTGTAAGAAATAAGCTTCACTTGAAATGTATAAGTAAGTGTTGCTTAACTAAAGCATGATTGCCACAATGCTCTCTTCCCATCTGAAAATATCTAGTAGGCGTTTGCTTTTCCCAACAGGAAATAGCACACTCTGGGGTGAAACAGGAAGCTGTGCAGTTGTATGAAAAGCTCCATGAGCTCAAGGAACGTCGAGATCGGATGATTGCTGAGGATAAGAACATGGAGTCTCCACAAGACGAAAGAGACAGATTACTAAAGCAGGCAAGAATAGAAAATGTTGTTACATAAAAGATTCTCCAAGTCGGTATTATTAGGGGTTATAATACTTGAAAATACTTAGGTTTTAATTTTGCCTTTATTTGTGCTCTAGGCAGTGCAAATAATCTGACATTAAAAAGAGTTAATGAATTGGAAAGTTGGGGTATTTCAGGTTCAGCCAAAAGCTGGAGATCTATTGTAGTGGGTTCAGAGGAGGGCTGTGAAGATGATCCCTGGTCTGGAGCTCCTCTTCTATGAAGACAAGATGAGAGAGTTGGAGCTGTTCATCCTGGAGAAGAGAAAGCTCTGAAGGGACCCAAAGCAAAGTCTAGTACCTAAAGAGGGTTTATAAAAAAGTGGGAGAGTGACTTTTCACACAGGCAGAAAATTATAGGATGGGGGATACTGTTTTAAACTAAAAGACAGAGGATTGATGTTACAAAGAAATTCTTTACTGTGAGGGTGGTGAGGCACTGGAACATGTGGATGCCCCATCCCTGGAAGTGTTCAAGGCCAAGTTGGATGGGAACCCTGAGCAACTTGATCAAGTGGATGGCATCCCTGCCCATGGCAGGGCTGGGGAGTAGGGGGAAGGGTGAGTTGGAAATAAGTGATCTTTAAAGTCCTTTCTAACCCCAACCAATCTGTTATTTTAAGAAAACAAAATTGATATGGTGAGGTTTTCAGGTGGTCCACTTGCTCCTGTTAATGAGACATGTTGGCTGGGAAAACTGATCCAGTTGAGCAGCTCTTGTAACCTAACTGCAGAGAGTATCCTTGTGAGGTGCTGAACAGGTATACTAGTCTAGGAGTAGTTGGATCAGTTTACAATAGCCTGTACTGTAACTAGCCATTTATACCTTATAGATTATTGGTCTGAATGACCAATGGTAAGTGGATTTCATTATTTAAAGTATGATTTAGAAGACATATGGAAGACATAATGCTTAAATCATCACTTTTTGTTAGACTATGTACCAAATTTGTGATTTCAAATGCTAAGTTTCTATTCCCTGTATTTTGAAATCAGATTTTTTAAATAATTTTCCTTTTTTAACTTGTAGATTTAATTTCATATGTTAAAGTTGTTGAACTTCTTTTTAGGTTAAAGATGATAGTCAAAAAATTGCAAGCATGGAAAGACAGTGAGTAACCCCATAATACTGTTGTATAAATTATATGCACACCTTAAAGACACATGGTTATGTTCCTTCACAAAGTCTATTTCTATAGACTTTTAGAACATCACATCTTCAAACCTGTACTAGTCTTAATCTTCCATAGAGAATGGAATATGTTCTTCTGTTTCAGGTAAGCAAGTTGTATAGTGATAAAACATTTAAATCTGCATAATAAGATGCTTCCATCCCTTAAGAACACACCTTGAGAATATAAATTCATAATAGCACTGACTTAAATTTGTTTAAGGCTGAAGAAGACATTGATTTGTAAGAGATGCTCCTGTGAGACAGCTATGAAATTGAACCATCATTAAGTTTGTTTATGTGTTCTTAAAACGTAAGAGTTACGGAAGTTCCATTCTAAAGATTAGAAGGGCATTGCTTCTTGATTCTTAGGTACTGGGCCTTTCCAAAGACTGGCCAGAAAGTCAAGTAAATCTTATAATAAATAGTAATGTATTGAGGGGGAAATAAAACAGTACAATATTTTCTGATTTTGAGCCTTTTGATTTCTCTTTCTTGAAAACAAACTGAGATAATTGATAAAATCTCTTAGAAACAGTATTAAATTCTTTTAAGCAATATTCCCAACTATAATTATTGGTTACTTTTTAATGCATTGGATAATAAGTTGCTTAACAGATTTTTTTAATAAATAACAATAACAAAGAATTATATTTGAGATTTTGTGTAGAAATATGTTAAAGGAATACAGTTATTGCAGTTTAACAATTATGTTGTATTTCTTTGAAGCTGAATAGCAACCAGCAGAGGGACTAGTTGAGTAAGTTAAGAATTACTGATGACTCAACAAAAATTGGTTTTTAATAAAAAGGAGCTACAGAACTTCTATTTAATAAACACAGGACTAAGTGATAGATGATTTACATATACCTTTCATAATAACAAGAATCATCCTGATATTCTTTTGGTTTTGATAAATTTTTATTTTCTATTTTTATTCTTGACTTTTCCATTTTGTCTAAAATCAAGTAAGTATTTTACAACACAGTTTTAACCTTGACTTTCTTTATCTATTTGTTAGGTTGGCAGAAGTAAAAGAAAAAATAGATTATTTTAAAAAGGTCATTCAACGACTTGATACAGATCTGGAGAACTATCGAGGTAATATGATTAGAGTTGTGGCAGACTGCAGAGCTGCTTCTGCTTGTTCTATAACAAACTATTGTACTTAGGAGTTGCTTAAAACTTTGAGGCTTATGCAGTAAGTCAAGTACTCATCAGCATGAGAAGTTCTGTGCCACAGGTACAGCCTTTTCTTTTTGGACATAACAAATGGGGAGTAGCCACCTTTAGTGATACATTCAACAAGTTCATATAAAATAATAGGACAGCTGTCTGGTTTTTTGTCCAATTTTATTTTTAATATTGTTTGGGAAATAGAAGTTTGTCTTATTAGAAGCACTTCAGAACAAACTCATATTTAGAAATGCTTTCATTAATTTTACCTTTTACATGATCTGTTATACTGTCAGCAAATGTGGAATTGAGGATATTTAATAGCAATATGTATAGTAGACTGAGTTCAGTATTATTTTTATCTGGCTTTGAAACTTCTTGGGTTGATTTTGGCAAGAAGTGTTTGTAAGCTGCCCAATAATGGCCTTAGCTTATACTGTCCTCCAGCAAACACATGCTGCTAGTGCTTAGGCTAGGTTAGTTTGGAATTTGTCCTAACACTGGAAGTTATGGTTCTGTGGTTAATTCCTCTTCTGGAGGAAGTAACTTTGCTTTGAACATGGGCCCTTAAAAGTTGTAACAGGTTCTACATAAAAGGAAGATCCATTCAATGGAAAACTTGCTTTTGATTATAAAAAATCTTGTTCAGATACGAATTACATAAATATATGCCTGCATTCTGAAAGTCTTTATAACAAATTATTTAACCTCTGTAGGATTAAGGAATTGTTGTCCCTCTTACTTTATGCCTTTTTTTGTGCAATCAATGTAAAATCTAGCTGTAAGTTTATCCCAGGTGAATAAATACGTAGAAATCTGCCTCTAAACAAATGTTTCAGACATCTGTCTATCATCTTTTGCATGGCAAAATATTTCATATTTCTACAGACACTTAATTTTTTAAAAAATAATTTATTAAGACTGCATTATTAGCTTTGTGTTTCCAGATTATATAATTGCAAACTTTATTGTTCTTTAATTTTTCTTTTTTTTTTGGCTTGCAACCATTTTTTAACTTTGGAGAAATACAGAAGGTAAGAAGTGAGCTGCTTTTCACATTTTATAGTTCAGTACACACACACAGTCATTCATTGCTGGACTGTGTCTTTCACCGTTTATTAAAAAAACTCTATTGAAGAAGAGTTTGAAGCATATGTAGGAGAAAGCACGTGGGCTTTGTCAGCATATCAGAACCAGTCAGAATATTCAGAATCAAGTTATTTTGTGGTATAATGCAGAGGGAATTATACCTCTTTGTGTAACACAGAGGGACTAAAGATATTCATAAAGAGTAGCTTTAAGACACACAAACGTAAACTCCCAATTCTGTCTTCTCTAGTGAATGGAGAGAAATTCACAGAGGGCCATTCATACTTCTGCTCTAAATCAGTATCTTGGTGTGTCGTTGAAATTCCTATGCTCTGTCCCTCCCTAGTGACTTTACTTCTGGATCAGTATTTAAACTTCATACATAACATTCCCAAAATTCCGCTCTAAAGGTTTTTATGTAAATATCAGGTGAAATAGCCAGTAAAAAATAGACATTTTAACAAAGGATTATTTAATATTTTAGGATACATATTTCAGTGACAGCAATATTTCTGAGCAGCAAAAAGACTAAACATACAATGTTGAAATAACTATTTTTAGATTTTGCCTGAAAAAATCTAAATAAGTAAATAATTCATCCACTTATTACGTGGCCTATATACTAGCAGTAAACTTTAATGATTAGTCAAAGTCAGCATTAACTTATAATGCAACAGACTTAACCCTTCTTACATTGAAGATGAGGTTAAAATAGTTGTGTATTAGTGGTGTATTTGAAAGAAAACTTACTGAAAAGATATCTCAAAGTTGTGGTCTTCAAATATTTTTTTCTATAAATACTTGACAGATCATGTAATTCTGTTTCATGGCTCACCATTACTGGAAATGTTAAGAGCAGAGCAGGCTAAGTCATTAACTATTGGAGTCATTAACTATTAAATTGCCTTGCAAAATGAAAGGGGCAAGGAGCAAAGCCACAGCCGCAAGGAAGCTGAAACAGAATTGAAGTCCCTTACGGTCCCTCAGGTGTTATTACTGTTTCTATATAGCAGATAAAAAGGAAAGCATGGGGGTGCACAAATAAAAAGTTCTAGAGAAATTTGCTTGCTCAGTTTTATCTGTACCTATTTGATTCTTTTACTTTATATCCTTTAAAATTAAAAAATTATGTTAAAAATAAAACAGACTCAATTTAAAATGTAGATGTTTGAAACTTCATATTATTTGTAGGAAATGAATTGTTTCATCTTCTTGTGACAGATATATCAGGTGTCCCACTTTACTAATACATACAAATTATGAGTTAATTATATAATCAGTAGTTGAATTGAAAAATAGGGTGAATATGAATGTTATTCCTTACTTCAATACCAGTATATTGAAGGTGTGTGGAAATGTTGTTTCTAACTTAATTGTAGAAAGTTTTCTGTGCATTTTATTTTCCTAGACTATTGCTTGTACAGTTCTCCTGTTTATTTCCTTGAGATTATCACTTGCAGGCTGCATATCCTTATGAAAGTCCATTCTAATAGGTGAAAGTGCAGTTGAAGTGGCTCATATATTAAACAGGCTGCAGAAAGTTTTAACTAATCATGGTGCCCAAATGCAAAGAAGCATTTGTTCTCTATTATTGAAATTCACTTGACTTCAGAAAAACCTTGTGAACTTCCTTTGTCCAGTCTGAATATTTATCTCACTCCTATCCATCAGAAGTTGTAACCCTGAAAGGTTGTCAAAATCGCATTGAAGCTGATTTATTATGCTATCTTCTTTTTTAATATAAAGATATATATGATATAGTTAGTTGAACTGACTACATTAAATGAAATAGGATAGATTCTGTAGTTCCTAGGCATGTAGAAATTTTATTTTTGAAATAGACATTTTGCCTTCCTGAAGGAATCCAGGCCTGACACAATAAATCAATGTTACATTGATTAAAGTTAAATCAATGTTACATCTCTTGTAGGGGAAGAAAATTGGAGATACAAGGAGTTGAAGAAGCGGGAAGAGAGCATGGACAGTAAGTTGTCTAATATTATTTAGCCTAAAATTTTATATATATATATAAAATTAAGCCTAATTTCACTAAATTACAGGTTTTGGTTTACTGTTAAAAAGTTAATTTTTAGCTGCAAAGAACTGATGTGCTGATCTTTGCATAAAGTTCTGCAGTCTTGTTCTGTGGACAAGATAATTGATATCTTACAGGACAGTCACAAATATTCAAATATTCAGAGTGTCTTTCAAGGCTTTTCATCAACCATTAAATGTCTTAGGAACACAACTTTATTTTATGAAAGCAAAGTTGTAATTAAAGAATTCAGTGATTAAAAGCAGAACTTCAACATGAAAGACTGTAGATATAATGTAATTCTATAAAATTAGGGCTTCTCATATCTATTTACTCAAGACAAATGTTGCTAATCCTTGTATACTGTAGGAGACAGGTTACAAAAAAGTTGGTCTGTTATTCAGCAAAAGGGATAACGGTCAGTAAATACTCCATGGAGGTCAAAGGATATAATACCTTTTTTTAAGTGTTCTCTAAAAATGTTCTATATAACTTATGGCTATCATGATACTGAGAGAAAGGTCTCAGATGATAATAAAAGAAGATTAATAAAAAACACAGCAAGTTTCTGTGCTTTCAAATTGCCAAGTTTTCTGAGAAGCAGAGACAAAAGCTCACTTGATCTGGATTTTCCATATTAATACAGATGAGGTCTGCAGGGCTTGACATTTTGTGTTTTGGTCATGCTTCATTATAGGTTATTGCTGTAAAATTAGAGACCAGTTAGTGATTTGGGGGACTTGAGACCTGGGAGATTGGGGGAACATGCCAGGAGTCTTAGGGATGAGGAAAGAGGAAATATGATGCCTATGCAGAGGAAGAGGGGACAGGGCAATACAGACCAGTCAGACTAGTAACAGTTTCCACAAGCAATTTGGGAAAACTGTGCAAGCTAACAATATGTAAATGTAACAGGAATAGGTGTATGAATAACACTAATATTGATTTGTCAAGTACAAACAACTTTTTTTCCTTTTTTTGTGTCAGAAAAATACTGCAGAAAAAGGAAGGTGTAGCAGATTATGTGTACTTTAACTTCAACACAATTTCTGCTGCCTTGTGGTCTTTTCAGAAGCAAGCTAGGCAAATATTGTCCATTATTAACCTATATTGTGCATTAAGTTAAAAAATCATTAATTTTTGGAAGATTCTGTGCCAATATGAAAGGATGTACTGTGTGGTGCTTTGCAGTGTGTCACATGTTCAGGTTAGTCAGTATTTTTTAAATCAGTTGGATGATGGGAGAGACCATCTGACAGAACAATTACAAAAACTGGTCCATCAGAAAAGCTGAAATCATGTTAAAGAGTGTGGTTAGAACTTAGTATATATCTGTTTTATTAGAAATTAATTACAAAAAAGTTTGGGAAGGACTAAGTGTAAGTTCTTACACTTGGATAAAGTAATCCACAGCGAAAATGCAGAGTAGGGAGGGGTTCATTAGGTACAGCTCTGTGGTATGGCTCAGAGACTGAAAGACAAAGTGAACATGGCTGAGCAGTATCAAACTAACAAGGAAAATACCACAAAAGCAGGTGTACATTGGAGTGTAATTTTTTTGGAGATCTGAAGTAATCTTTTTCCCTGTGTATCAAATTCTTCAGATGGGAGTTCTGCTCATAAAGAAGGGGGCTGTCAGTCCTGAAGAAAACTGATGGGGGTATGCAGAAACCATGGCCTGCAAGGAGATATAAAAAGAATTTATATTTTATTTTAGAAAATTTATTACAGTTGTCAAATGGGTAAAAAAGCTGTTTCAAATAATAATGGAATAATTAATTTCTACATATATGTGGAGGATAGAAAAGGAGTAACATACCGCTAGGTGCAGAAAGATTTTAGGTTGGATATTAGTAAAAACTTTGTAACAATAAAACATACCAAGCATTGAAACAGATTGTCCAGGAGAACTGTAGAATATCTATTAGGAGCGCTGTGTGAAGAATATAGACAAACATCTGAATTACTGGTACATACAGCTGGTTTTGTCCTGGAGCAAGTGAGTTAATTTGATGAGCTCTTGCACTCTCTTGCATTCAAGAGTTTTTATGAAGCTGTGAAATATACAACATTCAAATGAAAAAAGGTCAGTAAGCTGACAAGTTTCAAGGCCTCTACTACCTGGCTTTTAAATAAGCAATTAAAGTAACCTATCTGAAACTGTACTGCTTCGAATTTAATACCAGCTTTTGACTGGAAACAACATTGCAACCATAAAAGTAAGAGCCTTCTTTTTCATGTTTGTTAATATCTAGATTTTCTGGCGACTTTTGAAGAGGTGAAGAATCAGGAATTGGAACGAAAGGCCCAAATAGAAGCCAACATTGTTGCACTCCTGGAGCACTCGAGCAGGGTAAGCATGTAACATTTCCATCCTCCTTTGGCACGCTAGGACTATAGACACACAGAACAGGAGAATGGCTGGATAAAGAGGGATGGTGGATTTTATGTATTTATACTTATCTACATAATTTTCTCTTAAAATGATTAAACATTAAACCATGTACAGCTGTAGTTAAAAAAAAAGATTAGTTTAATTTCTCCCTTTTTCTGGGGGAAGAGTTTTGAACAGTATGTGATATTGTAACCAGAACAAAGGAATATTTTCACAATTTCTGTAACTCTTCATCTCTGCTATAACTAACATTAATAATGAAAAACATTTCCAAATACTGCAAATAAAACTACTGCAATATTTTGTTTATCCACAGTTTGCAAATCTCAGTTCATGGGTATTTTGTCACTAGTGTTGCTGAACTAAAAATATTTCAGTTGTCCCTCTGATCTACTAAAAGTATGTCTGAACTACCCTGATGCATAATATTTAATGTAGATATTATAAATTAGTAATGTAGCAGTTCAGAAACTGTTCCCATTTCCAGTCTGCCATTTTTTTCACTTTCAAGACTTGTATTCTTTTTAATGTTTTTGGGTCCCATGGATTTTTATGTTATAGAAAACTTTCATCTGAGTAATATTTTGATTCTATTATTATTTTAATTATCTCTTTCAATATAGCATGCCATTAAGTATATTTTAGGCACTGTCACTTATTTTACAACAGACCTATATGGCAGCACAGTTTGTATTTGCTGCACATTTATTTCATCTGTGCTGGCCTGTCAATACATCTTTTATCAGAAGTTGGCAGAATGCAAGTCATTCACATTTAAAACACTCAAATAGCAGACAGTGTCATAGGACAGGAGAGTTTCTTACTTGTCCAGTTGCCACTTGTTGTTTCAAAAATACAGCATGTTCTTATAATTGTTGTTGGTAACACGCAGAATCTGAATCATATGAAACAAATTTCATCTGTTACCAATCAAGACCTGAAGATTATGCAGGAAGACCTCACTTTCAAATCAAATGAAATGCAGAAATCACAGAGCACTGCTAAGAATCTGATTACAGGTGAGATCAGCATTGGATTTTCTTATTAATTCCTTAAAATAATAAAGACTACATGAATTGTTACACTGATATCATGTAGAAGATTTCCAAATATTAGATACCAAGTGATCTCCAAATATTAAAATACAGTAATAAGTTCACAAATTGAAATGCTTCTGGGTAACAAGTTATTTATTTTCATCAATTTATTTCTATTTGTTTTATTTATTTCATAATATCTATAATCTATTAGATATTCTATATGATGTATTTATAATAGGTATGTATGCTTATTTATGTTTATTTTACTATTATCCCTAAATTATAGTCTTCCTTGCACAGATATATGTTTAACAAGTGTATTTCAATACAGGGGTTGAATTGATCTGGAATTGGATTTTACTGATACTTACCTCAAAATAAGATCTTTCATGATCTTGGTAAAGTGTTTAATAAACTGAATCAGACTCTTCCACAGTTATCTAACCATGTGTTATTTGTAAATGTAGTTCTTAGTGTCACTTACTTATGGTTTGTGCTTTTCCAAATGGATATGTACCACAGGCAATTAACTGACAACAGTGAATAGCTCTCAAATCCTGAGGCTTCAGTTCTGCAGAGTGAATACTCATTTTGACTTTCTTTTCTAAATACTCAAATACTTATTAGCATCTTAAGGATGTTCTCTGTAATTTCAAAAAGCAGGCAGTAGTTTCCCTTCATTCCCATAAGAAGTATCACTTTAGTTCGTTATTTGCACTGTTCATGGTAGAATTGTCCTCAAAATTCTGTGTCTTTTCCAATATCATTATTGGTTCAGCAAACCTTTCCTTGTTTGTTTGGCTGAAAGGAAGGGGCAGAAATTAAGAAGGATAAATAATTTTCTTAGAAGGCTGTTTCATGTTGTACTTCATAGTAATTTTCAAAATAGAAACCAGTATTGTGACTTAAAAGTAGTTATGAACAAATAAGAAGTTGTTTGGCACAAAATCTTAGAGAAATTGATTTTCTGTTGTGTAATTTAACAGTAGTGTTTGCTCATCTGCAAATACTCATTTTGCAATTGTAGTGTAGTTTAAATTTCTGGGCCTTATATTAAAAGTTCAAATATGACTTTTTGTTCTTCCATATGAGCATCATTTCTGACTATTTTCCAGTATAATGATGTTTTGGATGCATGTAGTGCTATAGAGGCATTATTGAAAGAAAAATTTCTTTCTCTCTGAGGAAAAAGGAGGAAGTTACAGTGCATAATTTTCAGCAGACAATTTAAGTTATTACTAAGTAAATGTGTGACAGCTGGCATTCACAGACAGTATAACAAACAAGATTCTTTCAGAAATACAGTGAGTGCTCAGTTTGCACAGCTGAAGTTCCTTCTAATCTTTGAATTATACTACAGTCATCTTCAAGATTCTTTTGTTATTATTAAAATCTGGATTTCCATATTTTCTTGTCGTAACAAAGATATAAAAAGTCCTCCAGCAGAACCCTTAAAAAAATAAAAAAGAAAAGGAAATCATGAAGGGTAAACAAAACTGCTGAGGGCATAGTTTCCCAAAAATATTTCCCTGGGTCACTGCAGTTTGTTCTGAGAATTTGCCACTATGTACACACTGCATACTAGATGCTGCAACTTCATGGCATATCAGAAGGAACTGGGCTGCATCCTCTTCCTGTCTCTTCTAGAGGAATTTTGAGGTTTTTTTCAGTTTTGATTTTTTTTCATTGAGTCTGCTGCTGGATAAGGATAAAATTTTCCCCTTCCAGTTTCTTTCCTTTTCTCCAGAAAGTGTGAATGGATAGGAATATCCGTTGCAGTTTCATCGTATTTGTATTAGAGCAGTTCAATAAATTTTTTTGCTTTTTTGACATTTAGGTTGGTACTATTCTTTACATGTAAAATAAATTCAGACTGGTCAACTATGTTTAATTTTAAAATAAAAAAGTACAGATATTAGAACAACTACATAAAAAGTGAAAATGCTGTGATGAGACCTAGGTAAATTCTCATGAACATGTGTAGATGTTTTCTGTTATTTCTCTCCAATCTGAGTTTATTTTATAATTTCATTTTTTACTGTTTCTGATCTAAGACTCTCATTTATTGATGTTCTTAAGCATTTGTCTTTAGAACACTGTGCTGTAGGAACAAGCAAAGTAAAGCAGTGATCTGTTCACTTGTGATTTACAATCTGTCATTGACAAATGCCAGAAACTTCATTGTGAAAGATTGAGCAGTTTTAAAATATTGTAGACACAATGAATGTGTCTCTTAAGCTCTTTGCAGTGGAAGGCAGACTGTGAGTTACTTACATGTGAAGCAATCAAAAATATTTTAATTTAAAATCCTTTTTTAAATTTGCATGGAAATCTTTTCATATTTATATAAATGCTCCTTGCACATAGAGGACACTTTCAATCTTAACTTATGGATAAGCTTTCCTCAGGATAATTGCAAATGGGACAAAAACCTTGGTTTGTCTTTTTTTTTTTTTTTCATTTTGAAGTCCCTGAAGAAATCATGTGAGTGCCCTGTAATATGCCAGAAATGCTGATAAAAGTGAATGCTTCACTCTAAAATATAAGTATATGGCATAAATATACAAGCAGAGAGATGAGTAGCAAAATCTTGTTCTGAGAGTGTTTTGATCAGGTGAGATTTTCCCATATAAGTCCACTGACAGAACTATACCCACAGTTTTTGGAAAGGTGCTCTCCTTCTATCACATGGACACATCCATTTTCTTCTGCCTTAAAGATTTACAGTGGCTTGGTTAAGTTGGGGAGGAGATTTTCTCTCCTTTTTTCAGCAGATCGACACAAATCTCAAGATGCAAACCTATGACAAGAAAAGTACAGTCTCATCCCTCTTAATAGGCCATGTTGCCTGATGCTTTGGAAAGTAGGAAGAAAACTGCATTATCTGTATTGTTCTTCTGAGTTAGACACAGATCTGAAACATAAGATGATATAGTCATGTATTCAGTGTTCAGGAACATGAATGACATACAATCACAGGTTAGGTCACAAAACCATCCAACCTAAGTCTAGCCAACATCTAGTCATTCTTGATTCCTGGTAAGTAACTTACCCCAAGACTGAGTCAAAGTATTTTTACTACTTCGTGTATCTGTAGTGTTTCTTCTCTCCCACATGTCTGGATACTTTCAGTCTCTGCAGTCCTCTTTATGTCATAATCCACCCACAGTTCTAATTGCTTCAATTACATAACTGTTATGCTTTTAATGGCATCTCAGAAGTAAATGCTGTATATTGTAGCATATGTTGATGTTGTAATCTGTGGCATTTCTTTTTTGAAGAATATATGAAAGTGTTTTCCTGTACAAAGCAAATGTTTAGAGCAAGTTTCAGTATTTGTTGTCCTAAAACTAAGCCTTATCCATATTCAAACAACACAAATAAAAATAACATGATGCTAAAATCTCATAAAAACACCTTTTTTATTTGTCTGTGTTTTGTCTGCATTTCTATTGCATTGCAATAAACTTTTTGTAAGTTATCACCACTGCTTTAAGATTGTAGTGCTATAATTAATGTGTGGTACTATAAACATTATAAACAGAAACACTGTGATACAGATGGTCACATTTTCATTACTCTTCACTTATGGATTATAATACAGTAATTGTAGTGTATGACTTGTAGCATGGTTGTGAATAGCAATTTTTTTATTTCCTTTACATTAATATCTGCCATAAATATAAAAAATCAGAATTATTGGTTAAATATAGCAAATATTTATATTGGTTAAATATAGCATGAATCTTTATGAAATGGGCTATGTATTTTGAAACAAAAAGTACTGTTAATTAGAGATTGTGTTTCTGGTGACCTAGAGAGTCAAAAACTGCAGCTGGACCTACAGAAGATGGAACTGTTGGAGGGCAAGATGGTTGGTGAACTGGCTTCTCTTAAAGACAAAATTGAACAGACAAAAGCAGAGTTGGAGATCTACAATAATTTGCCAGCTCTGAAAGCATCAGGAGAAGAAAAGAAAAAGGTAATCAAAGGGATGAAACAAAGTGTGTGCTTTTGAACAGCTGGTGGAGGGGAATCCAGTTTTGTGACTGACAGTCCTTCTGACAGCTGAAAAACAGGATTGCACATCAGTGCAAATTCATCCAAATACTATTTTGCTTATATGTGTGACTTGTTAACTGGGTACATATAGCAGATATTCAGCTGGGTATCTTTTGATAGCCTGCCTCCTTCCACTGAATTTCCCCATTCTATTTTAGCAATTCATCTAAACTCTTATGCAGTTTATGACTACCCATAGCTTTGAATTTAGCAATCTAACATGGAACACAAGTAAAAGAGAATTTCCTACAAATTCTTAATAGCAGCATTCCCACTAGCACTCATACAGTACCGTCTAAGCATACAACTTGGTCATAATCATTGATTATTATTTTTAGGATAGAGCATGCAGTGCTAGAGAAAAGCAGATGAGTTCTTCATGTATATGCATGTGGTCTTGTTCTAAAAGGAAAAAAAGTAGCATCTTGAAAGATAAATTGAAGTAATGTGCCTGAAGCCTACATCAAATGAACTCATCCATTAATCAGTTTGTGCTGGGTTTTCTCCTAACTAGAAACTCGAGGATGACAAAGAGAAATTAACAAAACACAGTCGTGCTTTTAAGAAAATAATGGAGCTTTTGAATACAGAGTATGAGGCACTAAAGAAGGAGCTGCAAGAAAATGAGACCCATTCTCAGGTATAGATCAAGTTACATATTATCCCTTCAGTTGTTTATTTCTTGGTTTTGGTTTTCTCATATACATGAAGCATTGTACAGACAGAATCTGTTTACTCCTTCTCAGTGAGTTTTCTAAGTCATGTGTTGTAGGTGTGTAACTGTATTTGCTGTTTTTAAACCAAAGGTAATATTATGCCAACAAATGGCTTGTAAGCTTTGGATTATTAGCAGAGATCTTTCTGAGCTAAAAGTTATGTGAATCCTTTGTTTAAATGTTTGTGTTAATCGTGCTCAGAACTCTCTACCTTCTGCCCTTCCTTTGCTTAAGTAGTTTGAGGACAAACCTAGAAAGAAACTTCAGGGACAAAGAAGGTCACTACTAATTAGCGAAGATCCCTCTTGCTTTTAAAGTTATGGTGATTTTTTTTTCCTTTAAATCAGTGCTATTAATTCCATTTTCCTTTTTCCTATTTTGCTCCTTGCAGGCCACTGAAGTTTTAGGATCTGTTCACATTTAAACAATTTTGGTATATATGTATGTTTACATTTCAAAAGTGAATCAGGAAAGAAGATGTTTATAACTTCTTGATAGGCTTCTGTTCTTTCATTATAAACACACATAAATTGCTGTCATTTTGGCAGCAGAACTTTACTGGTATATACGTTTGAATGCACAGAAGAAAAATAGATAACTTTAAAATAAAGTGGAAAGGGAAACTGATTTTTTTATGCATTTCAATGTTTTTTATTGATTGAGGTTATTGAGATATTTGTCTTTTAGAACTGTTATTTTTTCTAATACAGTTAAAAGCTGAAGGTCATATTGTACATGTTTAAGTTGCACTTTCTTGTGAAATGAATGTTGTGGAGCAGATGAGAAGGCACAGCTCTGAGGCATATGTGTCCATTTGTAGCATAGGATTATTATAATCTTTCTAGGGTGATGATATAAATCCTCAGAGCTACATGCCAAAGTGTGGAAGACTTCAGATACTGTGAATCTTTTTTGCCAAGATCAAATTCTAGGGTAAATTGGAAATGCATGCCCAAGCAGGGTTAAGATACTAGCATAATGAGGCTAAACATATATGTAAAGTAGTAGTTGTACAGAATTTCTTCAGTTCACTAAGCTATAGCAGTTCTATTTTTATTTGTGTGGAAAGGATTTGTTTCTTTTCTTTTTATGTCCTGAGTGTAAAAAAATGAGGGTGTATGTCTTATAATAATTGATTAATTGATATTAATGAAGCATTTTGATGTACAAATAGTGTTTATAAATGTGGAGGAGTTGGGCAATTTTGCAAGAGGTTGACTGGTCGTCAAGCAGTTACTATAAAAATACACTGAATCTTTCCTTTTCTGTGTGCAAGATAGTAAGTATTTCAGTTCCAGGCTCCTTTACTGGCTGTATTGTGTGCAGCAATGTCTACTAAGAGGACAATAATAATTCTAATTAGTCAGAAATACCTAGTCTTGGAAACAAATTATTGCCTTGTTTGCTGTGGACTGATACACTAGATAACGGATTCTTTACTGTTAAGGCTTGAATTATACAGAAACTATTTTCATCTCTTCCAGCTTAAGGAAAGCTTTAAAGTAAAATACTGCAACATTTTCCTTATTTCTTGCCCTAATTTCTACTTAATTTTAGTCTCAGAATGGTTTTCAGTTTTACTTTTAAAAATAACATCTTCATATCTTGAAATGCAGAACCTTGAACAGTAGCATCAGAAAAACAAATATAAAATTGTATTGTAAGGAAGCAGCCATCAATATAATGTCCACATTAGTTTCCTGTTGATGCTGAAAGTATTGAAGAAGTGCCAGCGCTGAACCCACACTCCTACAATCTTCTCGCTGCAGCTCTGTTCTTATCACAACTTCTGGCATCAGACAGGAAACTTAACTATGGAAGTAAGGAAGTTTCTTCTGTGTAGTGCAAAGTCCAAGACAGTGTCAGGAAATATTGTATCTTTGGTGATTTTAGATCTTACCGATTCTAAGAAGAGATCCATCTAAATGATATGAAGCATAATGAGAATTAGTATCTCCCTGAATTGTTCATCTTTTTACTTCTGACTTGCTGTTAACTTTCTTATATGACAAGTCTTGAATTCTCATCTGATTTTTTCATCTGTCACTGCAGTTGCAAACAGTGCTTTTATTCAGATGGATTATGAAGTGCTAAGTTATATATGCAGGTTAATCATGAGCAGGTTTAAAAGCATTTTGCCATTGTTTCTCATTTCTGTGTTTTTTATGTGAAATAACATCGATCTTAACAGTTGATGAGTACAAGGTACTGATACAAAATTATTTGTGTAAAATATGTGTGTAATTATTACCATTTTCATTTTTGGCTCTTTTTGTGTTTTTCTGTTTTCAGCTTACAAATTTGGAGAGGAAGTGGCAGCACCATGAGCAAAATAACTTTATGATGAAGGAGTGTATCCTTTTCTTTAAGAAGTAAGAGTCAAATTCACACACTGTATTAATTGAGGAAGAAGTCTGTTTCCTCCAGCAGAGTAACACAGGACGGAATGGCCTGCAAAAGACAGGGGAGGAGGGGAAAGGCAATCCTTTGCAAATATCTGGTTAGCTGATAGATATTATATATAGCAAAACTTGCATGTGTTCTCTGAAAGAGTTTTACAGGGTCCTAAACCATAAGCTTTGCCTTGCAGTCTGGAATTTTTCCTTCTTTCTCAGGTTTGCTGCTAGGTTTCATATAAAGTTTATCTTCACATCTCTCCAGTCTTTATCTGATATCAATCTGCCAGTGTAGCATTGTTTGAAAACATGCTGGGGTGGGGGAACTGTCTTGTAGCTCTCTCTTTAAGGGATTCAAATTAACAAGTTGCATTCCAGTGATCATGTCAGCAAAGTCATTACTTGCTGATTTGCAAATGGTTTTCATAAGACAGTTTTTGAAATTAGGAAAAGCACTGAAGTTGTTTTAACTAAAATTCTTCTCATCTGGTACTATTTTTCTATTTTTCTCCTTAGTTATGATAGAGATCTCAATAGGACCAGGCTGTGCTTTTATTTTATATTATAGGGACAGTGAATTCACTGCAATAAAATTACTTCTTTAAAATTATTTAAGAAATAAATTGTTATTTTAAAACTCTGGAATCTCTAAGATACACAAAATCACTATTATGTCATTACAGTACAAATGTAGTTGGTAAAGGTAACATCAAAACTAGACCCCACCATCTAGTGTAGTGTGTTGAACAATGAACATTCCTTCATGTCTCAGAAAATGGCATGGGGTTATATTTCAGGCAATTCTGTGTCACCCTAGCCATCACAGAAATAATACTGATGATGATAATAATTATTTAGTAATTAATGCATAAACCTATAGCTATATGTATACATATAATGTTATTTTCTGCAAATACCAAATATCCCATTTCTCAGATCTGCTAAGTGCTCTAGTTCTTAGAAAAATACCTGAAAAAAGTCTTGGACAGTGTAATATAGTTGGAGCCACCTCCTCTGTGAAGGAAGCTCTACTGGAATATCTTATTAAGGCAAGACTCCTAAGCACAATTTTTCTCAACAGAAAAGACTTTAAAACAAACCAAGAGAGAAAATTGATCAGCATATGAAAGTATCCCCCAACTTGGTACGGAATATTGCCTATCAAAGTGCAGATCCTTATACAGAGTGCTTACATCCTGTTGGGCTACTGGAGAGGGGGTGCTTTCTTGAACTGGGACTTCTGTAGCTAGACTGTACATCTGTACATAACTGAATGCCTTGAAATGGTTTGGTTTGCAATGTAACAATAGGCAGAGTCCTTCATGAGGGACTTATTGCATATATATAGATATAAATATAGATATAGATACATGAACAAAAGTGACTTAGGCATGTAATCACTTCCTTTTTCTAAAGTGCTTGTCGTGAGATGGCAGCTAGTAAATAAGTGTAAATCTTTTATCCCCAGTCTGAGTTTTTTCCACTATTTTCATCCCTTGACAGTTTTCACAGAAGGAAATGTATGGTGTTGTGGTTCCCTTGTGGTCTGTGATTATGGTCATATTTATACTGGCATTTCGTTTCCTTAATTATTTTAATCAGTCATAGCAACAAAAAGTCAGGAGAGTGACTACCAGCCAATAATGAAGAATTCGAGAAAGCTGGTCAAAGAATACAACAAAGCCCTCATAGAAGCTTTACAGAACACCAAGAACTGAATCCAGGCATTTCCTTCCTGCCCAAAGGGACCACAATGAGAGATGTGCAAAGGCCGTGTGGAAAGCTGGACTACTGAGATAATTTATTCACCTCTAGGGTGACAGATATTCTTAAAACTATTTTCCCAGGTTTTTAGAAGTTGCAGGTTTCAATACTATCCCTCCTTTTGCATTGTTTAAAATTTTTAGAAACATCTGAATTTTAGAAACAAAAAGGAAATACTGCCCAATGTGTTGCTGAGGCCCATTGTTGAATTGCATCTCAAATGTGAAATTTTAGTCTGCCTTATATGCAGAATTTCTAATTGCCTTGTAGTCCTACTTCTGCCAGAGAGAACAGGACTACTTGACAGGCTATCATAAGCATTATCTTCAAATAAGTGCATAATAAGATGAATGGTAATATCAAAATACCATACCTATATATATAGCAATTTATACCAAGTAAGGAAAGCATCTTAGGATGACAAGCATCTTTTAAAGTCAAAATTGCTTCATAGTGTAAGATCTTAAAATAAAAGCAAATGCCAGCAAATTTCCATTTCCTAATGAAGAATTATCTTTGTTATTTTTTAAGATGTAATTTTAAAGAGCAAACTGATAAAATGTAGTGAAATATAGCTAGCTGATTTTGTGTGGAGCGTTTTACTGCTGTAGTATTCACCAGTAAAGGAAATAGCAGAGAAATTTATTTGTATTTTCTGCAATGCTTTTTCCCCTCCAGTTTCAAGCAGCAGTGTCACATGAAACCTCTGACAAAAATCCACAAGGAAGAATTTCAACATAGAACATAACATTGTTATATAGAAAATAACAATGTGCTTTATGATGCAGAAATTTCAGAAAATGTTTAGATTTTTTAAAATTTCCATTTATATATTTGTCTCACATTCTACACGTAATGTATTTTATAAATTGCTTGTTGATCATTTCTTTCACCTGGTATATTTTAATCTAGTCCTGATCAAATAGAAAAAGCACAGTTGACTATAGATAGAAATCTTAGTTGAACAGTAAACTAGTCTTACAGAAAGAACTGCAAAAAAGCAGTGGGGTCTGGATTTATAGTTTTTCTGCTCACTTAGAAAAGTTTTCCAGAAAAGAGGTAGTCTGTGCACCTCGCTTCATGAAACTGGAGTAGAGAAATTATTAGGAAATGTTCTGAGTCCATTAAAATAGTTCTGTATTTTTGTCACTAAAATTCCTCAAATCTGTGATTGTCTTTCTGAGTATTAAAAAAAAAATGTGTAAGCTAAAAATGTTGAAGATTTGTGCAGAAAGCACTGTGTTTGCTAATTCAGCACACTGAATGGTGTTGCTCTATATGTTTAGAATATTTAGAGATAATGGAAGGGATTCCTATAAACTAAGGACTGTTATCTAGGGGAAATTCCCACTAAAGTCTCTTCCTTCCTGTCAGAGTTTCAGCTATTCCAGAGAAAGCCCATTATTTGCAGAGATAAAGTTGAAGTCTAATATTCTCACCAATCAAACCATCAGCCAGAGAGATCACCTCCTGAATACCACTTTTGCTAGAATAACATATTGCAATGAACAATGGAAAAAAAGCTGCAGACTGAATAAACAGACTGCTTTGACTTTGCTTTTTCTCAGGGCAGGGGAAGGGTTTATTCCTTGCTAGTGATTCTGTAAGATAGCATGGTAAAGCTTACAGGTTTTTGCTGTGCTCCCAGGAGACGCCTGTCATTAAATCCCTTTCTCCAGCATGCTGTTTTGTTCCTTGTTCTACTGAAGGATCTTCAGATAACGTGTTTCTGTGTAAGAATCTCATCACTCATTCTATTAACAATTCACCCTTATGGTCCTTGAGAGCAGTCATAGTACCCATGGCTGGAAAGAGCTGTACAGATTTGGAGTGGTAAGCTGTGCAGCAAGTGTTTCATCTACCTCTGGAAGATTATTAAGTCACTCCTAGTAGTGAGCTGAGTACCCTTATGTAGTTCCTCAAGTGCAGTGAAAATCACCTTTTTTAACTCCTTATATATATACTTTTTTTAGTATGATTTAAGTACTGGACAGTGTTTTTTCACTGAAGCTCCTGTGTGTACATCAGGATGCTAATTCAGTAACACAGGTCTCTCTCTACCCAGGCAATCTTTTACTCATTTTATGCTATGACTTCAGACTGAGAGGACATGAATTAACTGTCAGCATCTGCATAGTGGAGATATTTAAAATCTCTTCTGCTCACCTCTCTCAGCAGGGCTTAGTAAGTATCACCTCCCTCATCTTGCCTGCCAATGCTCTTCCTAGCGTGTCCCAGAATACTGCTGGCCTGTTTTGCTGTGCATTGTTGGCTATTGGTCACCTTGGTGTACACCAGGAGAAGCCTCAATATGCTTCTCAGTAAAGCAGGTTTCCAGCCACTCAGCCCTCAGTGTGCATGGATGCCTGGATTGTTCCTCTGCTGGAGCAGGACTGTGTATGTATCTGTGTGGAATTCCAGTGTGTGGAACTTCATGACATTCTTGGCTGCCAGCTTCACCTGTTTAGATCCCTCTGAACAGCACTACACCCATTTGGTGTATCAGCCACTCGTCCCAGCTTTGTGTCGTCTGCAAGCTTCCTGAGGGTGATCTCTGACCCATCATCCAGGTTAAAAGTGAAAAGGTTAAACTACATTGCCCTCATATCCATGGCTGTGGTGTTCCACTACTGGCTGGCCTCCAACTGGACTTCAGGCCACTTACCACACAGTGAGCCCCAAGCCTGCTTATCAGGTTGGGCAAGCATAATTTCTGCTTCATATGTCTGTGCTCTCTGCTCATGATCAACTTCCCATCCTTTATGTGTCTGGAAATCATATCCAGCCTTAGTTGCTTCACAACTTTCTCAGAGATTGAGATGAGGCTGACCAGTCTGTAATTGGACAGATCACTCTTCTTGCTCTCCTGAAGGTAGGAACGACACATTCTAGCCTTCAATAGTCAGAAGCCTCTCCCTTACCATCATAAAATAAAAAAGGTACTCAGGAATGACCTTGCAATGCCTTAAGTCAGCTACCTCTCTACACATGTGGGTGCATCTCAACAAGCTCCATGTAATTATGTATATGCAGTTTGTTAAAAGTTCCCTTACCTAGTCCCCCTTCAGTAAGATGCCACTGAGGCATTAGGATACCAGGTTTGACAATTACTGTCACTTCCACATCCCACTTCAATGGCACGCTGTATGAAAAGAAGCACTTCAATTTCAAAGCTTTCAATCAAAGTATCTGTTGCTGCCATGCTATTTGTGCTTGAGGACAAGCACAGGAATTACTGCTGTTGTTCCCAGCTCATGATGGCATGACAGTACACCAACCTCATTCCCATATATACAGGGATATCATCATATCTCCAAGCAAATTGTATTTTTGCTGCAAGCAAAAGTTAATTCTCTTGCTGGTCTTCTGCTTCGTCTTGCCTTCATTATTTTTCATGGTGATTTTAAAAATAAGTTTATTTTTAAATTTTTCTTAGCTTAGAAGACAACAGTGCAATATTCCTGCGAGCAATTCCAGACAGGCAGAACACTGAGAGTTCTTTTTGCCTGACAACTTTAGTTAATGGCTCTTAGTGCTAGTATGTGCTGTTTCACAATTGTAGGGACATGTTTCTAAGATGAAGTGTTTGTAAATTCCTTCTGTACACTTCTGTTTTCCTGCTGCAAGCATAAAACAAAAATACAAAGCATAATGCAGGCCTTATGAAGAGGTGCAAGCCATCAGAATGTCTTAGTTTGAGGAGAAAGGGATTAAGGCTTACTTTGTAACTGTTCTTAAAGTATCTGCTTTGAGTGAGCTCCTTTGAAATGTCTCTCATGGTGATAATGGGTGTGGCAGATGTAGCAATTGGAGTGAAAACCGTTCAGATTTTGAAAGTGGTCCCAAAATTGGAGCTCACTTGAACACCTGCATGGTGTGAATAGTAGCTGAGCACCAAATGATACACGTCTTGTATGTGCAGAGCAAGGCTCTAAAATGCAGGTCAATGATTCAGAAGGGAGCTGCATTCCTCCCAAACAAAATAGTTGTCATCTTTTTCTTTTTGAATAAAGAGGAAGGAAGCCTTTAAGCACTCACTGCAACAGAGATAATCTGAATTCAAATCCCAGCTTTGATCAATCATTTGTTGTGATTGACAGAATCTTGGAGCAGTGGAAGAAATGTTTTGCCCTGACTTGTTCTCAACACTCAGAGGTCCTCCTTTAAGGAAGGAGGACTAACTGGACAATATGCCAAATGTGTGAGATGGGAGTCAATGTTCCACATTAAAAAAAAAAAAAAGAAAAAAAAAAAAAAAGAGAGAAAGAGCCAGAAATGTAAAATTATCCACTCTTGTTTCCTCTTGTATAGCTAATTCCTTGAAAGTAACATTAATTTAAAGTGGCTGAACTTGATTCACTGAGCACTGGTATCTTTGTATCAGGCTCAAGATTTCTGCTGTGCAGCAAAGGATGAGTAAGGTGCAAGACCTCTGTCTCCAACATACAACTCAAGTTTGCCCATAAGTACTTGTGATGTAAGGGGGACTCCGCACTTCTTACAATTAAGAATAAAAATACAATAGTGACTATAGTAGAAATATAACTTGCATCAGTGACTTTAACAGTTATTCATGAGAGACAAAATTCTAAATGAAGCTTCCAGATTTCCAAGATTTCTGCAAGATTGCCAATCCCAAATTTGGAAGAAGAGGCAGGTGGACAGCAAATTTATCACTAATTTGTACTTGTTTAAAATCACCATTAAAAAGCACCATTGAATCATACTAACAGTGTGATAGTAAGTCAGTGGAAGGTCAGTAGGTCCTGCAAACAGGATATTAAGGATGAATTTTTGTAACCCTAATGGCTGAGTGCACTACCCCTGAGTTGCCATGACCCATTTCCTGGTCCTTGGAAACAATAGTCCGATCTTCAATGCTCACATGCATTAAGAGGCTTATGAAATTAATCTTTATTCCTCCAGATGGAAAAAATATTAAATTTGCCTTGTTCATGCTCTTTTACTTTAAGCAGTAACAGTATTATTACTGCGCATCATTTGGGGAGATTTAATATCAGTATCTTAAAGATATTTGGATATACAATTGTTGCCATTAAACATAGATACACAGACTCATTTGTACTTCAAAATGTGTTGTAAAAAGTTACAATGAAAGTAGTAGACCAGAGAAGCAAAATGTTTTTGTCCTTCTGGTGACAACAGCCAGGCCATTCTAAAACATACATTAAGCATTTTTCAGAGGAATACAAGTGACTTGCAAAGTCGAAATTTTCAGAGCACAGATGTTAGACAAATGGCCTAATGTTCTTCAAAGTGACTTTACTGATACAGAAGTTCTAAAGTATTCCTGTGGTTTTTCATCAGCTGAGCTTTCCCTTTGAAAGAAGCCTGAAATTCCCATCAGGTGCTGTGTTTAATTCCATTTAGTAGATTCCCTTTCATTTCAGCATCACGAAAACAGGGAAAAATGCTCCCTTTGGCTAAGGCTATTCTGTGTACTGCTCAGTACTCAGCCATTTTCCAGGCTATGTTCTCCAAGATAAACTTTTTAGAAAACAAAACAAAAATGCTGAGAAAAAAAAAGTGGATCATAGCTATGTTTACAACCCTGAATTGCCTTCTAAATGTGCCTATGCAGGAGAAGCATTAAAAAGCATAAAGAAACTGCACCTCCTCAGAATGAGGTGCAGCAAAAAACACTGTTACCTTTTCTACTTCACCTTTAAGTTTCTCAGAACCACCCATTTCAATAGCACTATTCCTCCATATTGTTCTGCCTATGTTTGCATGACATGTACCCCAGAAACCTTTACCCTCCGTCCATCTACCTCTGCCACTGCAGTGGTAGGGCAGTGCTCATCTTGAGTGCTTGCACCAGCAGCTGCACATGTCATCTCCCTGGCCTCCTGGCTGCTACCTCTAACTTCCAGGTGGTCCCAGATAGATGGCTTGGGGGCTACAGATGGCCTCAGTGGCATAGGCTGTGTTGCAGAGGAGAACATGATCTGTTTGAGAAATTAAGCTTAAAGCCCATAATTTATGTATCTTTGTTTCATATTAGCTGACTGTGATGAGTAATAATTCCTAAAGTTCTTTTACTGCCTCCTAATAACACATATTAACATCACGTCAAGGCCAAAGTAATGGCTTGGTTCCAAAAAATAGAATACAACCAGACACTGCAAGAGGATATGTGATTT